AAAGTCAATGGAGTTGCAGAGATTCACTCCGACATCATCAAAAGAGACGTGTAGGCCTCTCTATCTCACATACATACAATCCTGCTGCATCCCATTGCCGATTATCTTCTTAATTGAATTTAAATTTGATCATTTAGATTCCGAGACTTTAGTGAGCTGGAACCAGAGAAATTTCAGAATAAAACAAACGGCATCACACCACGGCGCTGGCTGCTCCTCTGCAACCCAGGACTCGCTGATCTGATCGCAGAGGTCCAACACACATGTTTTTCTCTTGTTTTATTACACATTTGCCAGTTGATGTTTTTATATGTTTCCTTTGTGTGTGTTTGTAGGCTATCGGTGAAGAGTATGTGAAAGATATGACTCAGTTGCAGAAGCTGAATGATCTGGTTGACGACGATGCTTTCATCCGAGATGTAGCCAAAGTCAAACAGGTTTCATATTAAATTTGTAGATCTTGGTAATCTTTTTTCCCCCTTTTCTTTATATAATTGTTTACAACTTTTGAGGTTTTCTGTGGGCATTTCTGACTCGAATGAAATTAGTCAAAAGATTTGTTCATTTTAATTTTTATTTTAATTAAGTTCCAGTTCATTTTTTGGCATGTTTTTTTGTGTGTGTAGGATAACAAGCTGAAGTTTGCGCAATATTTAGAGAAGGTGTACAAGGTGGACATAAATCCTGCATCCATGTTTGATGTCCATGTGAAAAGAATCCATGAATACAAACGACAGCTGCTCAACTGCCTTCACGTCATCACCATGTACAACCGTATGTACAGAAAACAAACACACACTTGCACATGTTGATTAAGCTGTCATGTTTATGTTTTTCAAAATACTTTTAACTATGTCGAGACTCCTTTAAAAATTCTGTCATCTCTGACTTATCTTTGACTTTCTTTCTTTTGCAACACAAAATAAGATACTGAAGAATGTTCCAACTTTTTCACACACAGGCATCAAAAGGAGCCCCATTAAACCGTTCGTACCACGGACTGTGATTATCGGTGGAAAGGTAAAACAAACAACAACACACTCACATGCACTGATTTGCAATATATACATGTTCAAAAGGTTTGGGGTCAGTTAGTTATTTTAAAGTTAATCTCACCAAGGCTGCGTTTCTTTGATCCAAAATACTGTAAAAACAGTAATATTGGGAAATATTATTACAATTTAAAATAAGCATTTTCTATTTTAATATATTTTAAAATGTAATTTATCTTTGTAATGACAAAGCTGAATTTTCAGCAGCCATTACTCCTGTCTTCAGAGTGACATGATCCTTCAGAAATCTTTCTAATATGCTAATTTGGTGCTGATGAAGCATTTCTCATTATTATCAGTATTGTGCTGCTTAATAGTTTTGTGGAAACTGTGATACATTTTTTTCAGGATTCTTTGATGAATAGAACGTTCAAAAGAACAGCATTTATTCGCAATAGACATTTTTTTCTAGCATTATAAATGCTTGTACTGCAACTTTTGATCAATTTAATGCATTCCTACTGATCAAAAGTATTAATTTCTTTCAATTTAAAAATTACTAACCTCAACCTGTATGCTTTACTACATATGTTTATGCAGGCTGCTCCTGGATATCACATGGCAAAGATGATCATTAAGTTGATCACCTCCGTCGCTGATGTTGTGAATAATGATCCTGTGATCGGCCATAAACTGAAGGTCATTTACCTGGAGAACTACAGAGTCTCACTTGCAGAGAAAGGTGACGTGCACACTCACAACATTTTATATCCAAAGTATAAGATTGCTTGCATATTAATGGATACATTTATGATTGTCTGTGTTTTATGTGCAGTGATTCCAGCTACAGACCTGTCAGAGCAGATCTCCACTGCAGGTACAGAGGCTTCCGGAACGGGAAACATGAAGTTCATGCTGAACGGGGCGCTGACCATTGGCACTATGGATGGTGCCAACGTGGAGATGGCAGAAGAAGCCGGAGAAGAAAACATCTTCATCTTTGGCATGAGGGTGGAAGATGTGGCAGAGATGGATAAAGAAGGGTAGGGAGTGAGACGAAGAGATTAAATACATGGAAATGGATGCTGAGTAAATGTCATGCTATCTTTGAAGACATTAACCATTCCTTTGTGTGTGTGTGTGTGTGTGCAGCTATGATGCATTAGAATATTACGAGAGTCTTCCAGAGCTGAAACAAGCCATAAATCAGATCAAAAGTGGCTATTTTTCACCGAAACAGCCTGAGATGTTCAATGACATCATCAACATGCTGTTCCATCATGATCGGTAAAACACTCACACTTTCTTTCTCAAATTCTTACCATGCAAACTCTCTTACGCTCTCTAAAACTGTCCCCCAGGTTTAAAGTATTCGCAGACTATGAGTCTTATGTCGAGTGTCAAGAGAGAGTCAGCGCTCTGTATAAGGTGAACATTATCAAACAAACACATTTTGCCTAATAAACACGTCAGAGATTCAGATTATTGCTCAACGTTCTCCTTCATCCTGCTTCATGTAGAATTAAAACCTTTGCGAAACTTTTGTTCAACCAGAGATTCGGACCACATCGAACTGGCCAGGTCACATGATTTTAGCAAACAAGACTTTGTAAAAAATGGCTTTAACAGTTTTATAATGTAGGTTCAGTTCAGTTCAGTTGATGAATTTAAGTTAATGTAATAAACATGCATGTATAATAAAATACAGACAGTGATAGTTATTCTTCTAAATGGTCTAAATAGACAAGTCCTACCTAAAAACACAAATTAAAAAACAAACACAAATTACTGCATAAAATGTAATGGTATTTAATGATTAGTAGATTATATTTAATATATTACACTTTCATAATAACATTTGTAATTGGTTTGTAAAATGTGTCTGTGTGCATGTTTGTGAATCATTCTGTGAATTAATTCAGTTGATTCAGAGTTTCGAAAAGCTTTTATCACTACTTTTCATTTCATTTAATTCAGTGACATTCAGACACATCGTCATTACTCCTTTACTGATTCAGTTTGTTAATTTCCAACTCCAAGCTATTGAAATGTAAGAATCTTATGATTTAAGAAGATGTGAGACTTAAGAATGATTACACAATTATTTTCTATATAGCAACAGCTCAAAGTGACCATGGCTGTCAAGCTCCAAAAAATTACAAAGAGACCCTAAAAGTGCAATTAATATAGTCCATATTTCTCTGTTTTGGACAGGATCAGAGAGAGTGGACTCGGGTGGTAATTAAGAACATTGCAGCATCTGGAAAGTTCTCCAGTGACCGTACCATTAAAGAGTACGCCACTGAGATCTGGGGAGTGGAGCCCACTGACCTGAAGATTCCTCCACCCAGCGAACCCCGTGAAGCTTTGGAGGAAACCGCTCGCGCCCTGCGCAAGAACTGAACACGTCAGCACAGAGTCATAAGATCATGAGAAGACTTGTTACAGTAATTCAAATAACTACATAACTTAGAATTAATTCAGTTTTAGTTTTTTCTTTCAAGTTTTTCTAAAGGAGTGCCTTGTACAAGCAAAAAGCTCAAATAAACCCAGGGTGCGAACTACGGGGGAGCTAGGGGGAGCTCGGCTCCCCTTAATAAGACATGGGCTCCCCTGAAAACGTGATTTGTGAAATTTTGGGGGGTCTCAAAAAATATTGACAATGTGTTATTTTGACGTGCAATTTCAGTTTTGTGTAATGTGATCATCGTGGATTATTATGTGTAAAATTGCAAAAATATCATCCATTCATGCATGACGGCTATTTAAACCTAATTCATTTCAGTAAAGATAACTATACATGCTATTCTTGTCATGAGCATCAAATTGTGGGGGCGCTGCGGTGCAAATTCCACTCATGTTTAGTACATGTTAACTCAAAGATTCGTAGAAAAAATATAAACGCTGGACTGGTCGATTCAGTGTTAAGGTAAGGCATGTTATTCGCAATTATGTGTTGAGGCTGGGTTGTTATAGCCACCTCCCCACCCGCTGTTATAAAAAAAAAAAAGTGGGCTCCCCCAAAGTCCACGGTATAGTTCGAACACTGAATAAACCTCGTATTTTAATTCATCATGAGTATAACATCGAGTCCGTTTATTCATACAGTATTAGTCAATATAATGATTTTATGGAAAATGTATAAGAAAAATTAGAACATTTTATAAAAAAGAAGAGTGGATGAGAGGCAGAGGACAAAGAGTTTCATGGGTCAACATATTGTAGCATGTTCAAGCATGTTGTGTTATAGATAACAATGTGCTTAATGTTAGTGTTGCACTGTATTCATTTTTGTGTTGCGAACTGTTATTGGATGTGAAAAGAGGCTCCGCACCTGTTTGTGTGTAAGGGGAAAGAGAGAGAAGGAGGGGGGGGAATGAGTGCCTCGCAGGTTCAAGTGCGGTTCTCTTAGAATTCGGGGTGTGAACGGCGTGGGTTGTGGCCGACAACAGCCCAAATAAACACCCCTTGTACATCAAAACGCCTCGTCCTTGTCTGAGAACGCTACAATATTGACATTCTGCACTTATATAGTACAAAAGAAAATGAAATAGTTTTACCAGAGCAAGGGCTTGCAACACCAAAGTTGTGGGTTCAATTCCAAAGAAACACAATTCTAAACAAAACATGCACCCAAAACACACTGTAAGCATCTAGCGATTAAATGACTGTAAATATACACTATTGTTCAACAGTTTGTGGTCAGGAGATTTTTTTATTTGAAAGAAAATAATACTTTTATTCAGCAAGGAATTCATTGATTAAAATATAAAGTCTACTGTCAATTTAATTAATTCCTTGTTACATATATATATATATCAGAATATATATATATATATATAACAGTTGCTTTGAACGGCCTATTCATGAGAGAATCCTGAAAAAGTATAGCAGTTTACACAAAAATAATAAGACATACTAATAAAATAGAAGTCATCTGAGAATAAGAAATTGTACTTGAGCTTTATTATCACAAAAATAAATGTCATTTGGAATATATTGCAATAGAAAACCGTTGTTTTGTTTTGCTCTATTTTTGATCAAATGAAAGCAGCTCTGGTGTGCATAAATGGCTTTGGAACTAGTGTAGATTATTTTAGCTCAACAGGTGCGTCGTTCCATCGCTGTCCTGCCGGAGTCGCTGTCGCGCGCTGTGTTTCTGCTCGTCTCCTCCTCTTCCTCCTGCAGGGCCTTTCAAAATCTCCCTGACCGCCCCATTATAACCGACAATGTAGCACACTGAACCGAGCACTCAGCAGAAAGATATCACATTCACAGCTTTAGCTCCGGCATTAGATCCAAACACACAGAACGGTTCAGTCTGTGGGCGAGCTCCGGATCAAACTAATGGACTTCTAGCCGAATAACGGAGAGACTGTGAAACCGCCGGGTATGTTCTGATGATGGGTTTAACTTTGACTTTATCACTCATAAATCACAGTCATCTCATTTATAATAGATTCATGTATTAATTCGGCATTAAACTTTAATGTTATGTGTCCTGCATATGGTTTGAGTTTGTGCCGTGATTTGATTTGGCGATTAATTTGTGACTGCAATACTTAAGTTCAGAACTTTGTTTCTTTAATAATGAAAGACTTGTCTTTCACCTCAAAGCATGTTAGATAAACGAAGTGAAAAGGAAGTGGCAGTGATCTTAGTATGGGTGTGTATTTTGCGTGTTTAATGGTGTGTTTGTGTGTTTAATGTTGCTGTGTGTATGTGTTGCTAAGAGTCACTGTTATGGACTGATGATCATCTGAGATTGCAGAACTGTAGCCATGTGAGATGAGGGAAGTCGTTTTGGTTTTGAGCAGGTTGTGGCACTGTTCCTGTAATGACTTTAATTGTTTAAAAGCCATGTAAAATCAAGTGGGAACAGAGTTAGACAGACACCACAGTGATGGAATGAGCCTTCTGTCTGCAACTGAATCAAACCATCTGTTCATTTAAAGGACTCTGTTGATCAGTCTGCTGTGTGTGTGTCTGTCATTGTCCTTCTTTGTGTCTGTCTCCCTGCTTGTGAGATGCTGAAATCTCTACGATTGCTGATTAGTTTTTATTGGATTGCTGAAATGATGATCATTTTTCAGTTTATTGTAAGTGAATTATTACAAAGAGATTTCTCAGATTTGTCTTATTCTATTCTAGCCCTATATGGGACCTGTTGCCATAAGATACTATAACAGAGCCTCAATGGGTGCTGCTCGATCATGGCCACCAATGCAGACTTTGACATATATAATTTGATATTATGTAGTAAAATTATTTTGGAAAATATAAATATAAACATATTCTGGCAATACATTTGTTGTATTGTGCTTACTTGTGTATTATTGACATGGTGAATGGTTCCCATGGTCATAGAAATCCAAATGTGGAAATATCACAATTTACAGTGATGCAGGTGGTATATGAAATGAATACAGTAATAAGGTTAGGCTCATTTGAATTAATTAGTCAAATACAAAGATGTCTGTTTAATTTATTCCAGTTATGCTCAGTTCAAAAATATTTCTTTGGAAACAAAAAGAGCCAATCTCAATAATAAAATATAAAATTAATTATGAATAAAAATTAAATGAATATAGAAAATACAAATAATTATCCAGTTATCACAAATGAGTGGAAAAGTCAAAGAAATATATTGGTTAAAAGGTTTGGTTACCCGTTTATAGCTACTTTTGTATTTTAAAATTGGTCTGATTATTGATGTGATTTAAAAGTATTAGGCATTAAGGCATATATGGATGACCCTGTACATTTTTTTTTTTTTTTTTTTTGGTTCGAAAAAAATGTTTTTTTTAAAAAGTCCCCCAAAATCAATTTCACATATTACCTCGTCCAAATATCTGAGTGACTCTGAATCGGTTCTTCCTGAATATAGAGACACATGGCCACTCTCAGACGTCCTTGTAAGGGGCCGGTGATGATGTCATTGACAAGGAGCAGATGGACACCAAACCCCTCCCCTTTTGTGTGTGTGTGTGTGTGTGTGTGTGTGTGTGTGTGTGTGTGTAGCTTGTAAGGGTGATGTCATTGACAAGGAGCAGATGGACACCACCCCCCTCCCTTTGTGTGTGTGTGTGTGTGTGTGTGTGTGTGTGTGTGTACCATCCACTGAAGAATAATAAATGAATACACATGCTTATATGCTTGTAAGGCTTTCAGAGGGGTCAGGGCTCCTTGGGACAAAAGACACCTGCAGTGTGTTTGATTGTGTTCATCTCAGATGTTATAACTTGTGTGTCCTGACGTTGGCCTCTCTCATCTGTGCTCTGCTCTGCATTTAGCCCACAGATCTCTTCTCTTCCTGAGCGGAGGGATTGTGTGTGTCAGAAATAGTGCTGTAGGTCTCTCCATTTTTGTGGCTCAAGCTTTGTTCCATCATGAGTCTTCTATGCTCTTAATTACCATGAGCACAAATCCCAAGCTCAAGGATTGATTAAAGTCTTAAAAGTCATGGAAACTGAGTCATAAAATATGTCTTTGATTAGATATTGTTGGTGGTGTTTGCCTTGAGTAAAACAAGCATAACAATGTATGTCCATGGGACAGTTTTATTGGAGATGTTTGTACATTAACAAGTATTAGGAATGTCCCTAATAAACTGATAATTATTTTATTAAGTTATGGCTGATAATTGACAATTGATAAATGAAAGTTTATTAAAATTACCTAAATAAATTGCACAAAAACATTATAATGTTTTGGCATCAACATTATAATGTTTCGTATAAACAAAATCGTATAAATACAAATTTTGAGATTTGTTAAAGATAATTTTAACAGTGTTAAATTACTAGTGTCTTTTAAAAATAAGTTGGTAATGTTTGCTAGATGACAACAAATGTTGTCCAAGTATAAAAATGTATTCATATAATTTGTATTTATTTATTATAAAATTATCTTTTAAAATGGTATATAATAAATATCTAATAATCTATATATGTGCATGCATAATTAAACAGATACATTTAAAAAAAATCTGTAATATCATCCCTAATAAACATAATACTGTACACTTATTATTTTAAAAACTGGTACCTCACATAATGGAAATATGCCCAGGGATGTAAAAGATTTCTATATGCTCTTTATCCAACTGAAAAAGTCACGGAAATCCATTAGTCAACTGTGGGAACGTTGTTCCGCTGTTATGAAAGCTGTAGTCCTTTAATGGCTGACAGCCAATACAGCCTCCTTGGTAAAAGTGACCGGTGTGAGTGTGTCAAGCATTTGCGCTCAAGCTCGTTGTTGCTCTTGTCCGTTTTTTTTTTTTTGTCACTCACTCTGGTTATTGATGGCTCTTTCTGCATCCTTGTGTTTTGAACAGGAATATGTTGGAGTTATTGTGAGTGTGGAAGTGAACTATCTGCCTTAGTAAGCTAAAAGCCAGTGGACGGAATAACTCTGTCTGTGTCTCTGTAGGAAAGGCTGATGGATGGAGCGAGGGACCAGTATGAGGAACGATTGAAAGAGGTGTTTGAGAGTTTTGATGGCAGTGGTTTGGGCTCTCTGAGTCCGGAAGAACTGACCGATCTCTGCCGGGCCCTTCAGCTGGAGGAGAACACACTGAACACACTCTTACACACACTGCTGGAGGACCAGATCCATGCACGGGTGAGAGACCACATATATTTCTTTGTGACATTTTCTATTTTTATTTTAGTCATACTTTATTTTAATGTCTTTTTTGTGTATTTGTGTGTGTTAATTTTCATGCTGAGGCATTAAATACTGTTAATGGTCAGGAGAATTTGAGCGTGGATTACATTTCAGAAACTTTGTGTTTTGTTCAAAACCCAAACCAAACAACCTTTTCGAGCATCTATAACTAGAAACTGTATAGTCTTGATAGACACTGATGAAAAGAGGAGTGATTCATTGCTACTGTTTTGATTTTTCAGGTTGATTTTGAACAGTTTAAGGATGCGCTGATCCTTGTGTTATCAAGCACAAACACAAATGATCCAGAAGAATGTCTTGAACGACCAGGTAACAACCTCATAAGATCTAGACTTGTCTCGAAAAGGTTGTAGATTTAAACCATATAATGAACGGACATCATGTCATTGATCATTAAACTGAACTGATCACTTTAGATTATTGGCATCAAGTAACCTTGCTTGCTGGAACCAATATTGTGTAAAAAGAGCAGTTTAAATCCTCAGTTTGATGAATGTCTCATTAAATTGTATAGAAATTCTGTTCTAAAAATATAATCGTCTTTGGATACACTGCTGTCTAGATATTGATATTACCATTGAAGGACCGTTTTAAAATAATATCTATACATGCTGTGATGTCACATAAAAGTCACCAAAACTTGTAGGAATAAATATCCATTAATTTTATATAAATTTAGGTCTAATATAGTTTCTTTATGTGTTTACAGCTGTTTATATTTGGTCTGCTTGACTTATGACTAATGTATGACTGATATATATATATATATAT